TTTCAAGTATATGAATTACAAAAGAAAATAATATACTGTCTCACCATATATAAATTCTTCGATCTCGTAAAAAAACTCTTATATTTTTTCATCGCTCATAGTTTATATTGAACTACGGATATATAAATTTATTGAAATTCAGTTATATTCATCAAACACAACAGACAGCCATGAATACAAACACAGGTTTACTTATTATAACAAATTCATTTAACATGATCCTTCTCTTAACAATTCATTCATTGTTATTTACCATATGTTATAGTGTCCCGTTTGGTAAAGTTAATAAAACTCGATTTACTAGTAGAGATCTATTAAATAGTGAAGCTATTTGGCTTTCCAATCAACTAACTCCAGAAAAATGTTTATGTACAATTTTGTCTCAATATAATAATACTCTTCTTTTCAATAGTTATCAGAATGGTTCATGTCAAGTATTCTTGTCATTACCATATACATATACAATGGAATACAGAAACGATTCCACATTTATTCTTCTTTCATCATTACCATCAAGAGATATAGCACCTTGTTGTTCAAACTTACCATGGCTTATCAAACGTATAACTAATTCATCATAATCATCAATAACTAAATAACTAGGTGTATTAAGACTGATTGATGATAATGATGAATTAGTTATACGTTTGATAAGCCATGGTAAGTTTGAACAACAAGGTGCTATATCTCTTGATGGTAATGATGAAAGAAGAATAAATGTGGAATCGTTTCTGTATTCCATTGTATATGTATATGGTAATGACAAGAATACTTGACATGAACCATTCTGATAACTATTGAAAAGAAGAGTATTATTATATTGAGACAAAATTGTACATAAACATTTTTCTGGAGTTAGTTGATTGGAAAGCCAAATAGCTTCACTATTTAATAGATCTCTACTAGTAAATCGAGTTTTATTAACTTTACCAAACGGGACACTATAACATATGGTAAATAACAATGAATGAATTGTTAAGAGAAGGATCATGTTAAATGAATTTGTTATAATAAGTAAACCTGTGTTTGTATTCATGGCTGTCTGTTGTGTTTGATGAATATAACTGAATTTCAATAAATTTATATATCCGTAGTTCAATATAAACTATGAGCGATGAAAAAATATAAGAGTTTTTTTACGAGATCGAAGAATTTATATATGGTGAGACAGTATATTATTTTCTTTTGTAATTCAT